GCCAGGCCTCCTCTGAGGGAAAGTCAGGGGAAAATCTCCTGCCCAGGATCTGGGGGGAGGTAGGAGAGACCCTAGCAGCAAGCATGGCAGGCCTTGACTGTCCTTGGGGTCCCACAGCCGGCCTGGGGTGGGGCCCGGGCTCCTGGGTCACCGAGGCGGCTCAGGTCTCCCTGGGTCTCTCTTGCTGCACTCACCTACCCTCTCCGCCCCCAGCACACTCACTAGGGGCAGCATAGAGTCAGCTCCGGGGGCGGGGGCTAACAGGGGCCACTGCCACACCTGCCCTCCTTCCTCCCTCCCTGCCCGCAGGCTTCCCATGGGGCAACTAGCATACGGCCAGAAGGGTACTATCTTGGCCTTGTTAGGTGTGTGACCCTGGGTAAATCTACCTCTCTGAGCCTCCATTTCCTGGTTTGTAAAAATGAGACTCGTTAGATCATGGGGCTGTCAGAAGAAAACGAGAATCAGGCCTGCTGCTTTGGTAATCAGGAGTGCGCAGTTCTGCCCCAGGTGGGTGCCCATGGGCCTCTCCAGCTGCTGGGCGCTGTGCTGTTCCGGCAAGGCCCTCTGCTCCTGTGTGGCCTCTTCCCGTGCCCTTTGCTGCGTCCACTCAGCGATGCCCTCATTCCTCACTCCCACTCCTGTGCTCTGTGCCACGTATATTCCTGCACCGTGAGTTGCTCCCCTTGGGTGCTCGGCTTCCCCAGCAGCCATCCAGCTCCCCTTGAAGGAGAGCCAGGCCCCTCCCAGATGGCATAGTAGAACTGGTCAGGCTGTTGAGACCAGAGAACGAGGCCCAGAGAGGGGCAGGGACTGCCCCATGCTCAGCCTGTTTATGGCTGAGTTGGAGTTAGAGCCAGATCTGATTGTACCACTCATCAGAGCCCCTGAATTCCCATCTCACCTGCTTGGGGGTGTTGGTGATAGGGGCGGCCACCCACATCTGCTCTTTACGACCTGACTGGCCTGACTTGGGAAACCACTTCTCTGACCACTGGCCACGAGAAAGGAAAACCTGGCAAAGGTTCATGCCCAGGGTCCCAGATACGGAATTAACCAAGTAATTTCCTGCCAGTGTGGTGGTGGCAGTTGGGGACCAGGGCTCTGGGTGCAGACACCTGAGGATGTGGTTGCACTGTCCCTGTCAAGGGGCATGGCCAGGGGCTATGCCCTTGATCCCAGGCAGAGGAGAGGAGTGGGGGTAGGACCTGATGGCCTGGTACAGAGCCCAGAATGGGCCTCGATTCCTGCCATTTCCTGCTCTGTTTACAGACAGGCTGCTGTCTTCCCTGGACAAGAGGAAAGGGGTGGGGCAGAGGGCAAGTGCCAAGGTGGCACGAGGCTGGGCACGTGCCTGGTCTCAGACAGTGTCAAAGGAGTGTCAGACACCTGGAGGTGTCACTCTGAGGACTTCTGCCCTCCTCTGGAGCATCTTGATCTCTTTGGAAGCTGACTGCTGACCCGGCGGGGGCAGCTGGAATCCAGGTACCCCAACCCCCACCCTGGGCCCAGAGTCCCCCATCAGTGAGCCTTGGCTCTGCTTATAGCATCTGACGCCAGAGGGGCTGAAAATAGCCCCTGGAGGAGGTGGAGGAGGGGGCTATTTAAAGGGCCTGGGAGGAGCAGAGCTGAGAGGGAGTGAGCACTGATCATGGCGACCGCAGAGCTGAGCTGCCAGGTGTCCGAGGAGGACTGTGAGCGGCGAGAAGCCTTCTGGGCTGAATGGAAGGATCTGACGCTGTCCACACGGCCTGAGGAGGGGTGAGTGCCAGCCAGCTGGGAGTTCCTCCTCTCCCCTACAACACCCCTCCTGAGGCTCAGGAGGCCAGAGCACAAAGCCCTGCAGAAGTTTCTGGGGGTAGGGACAAGGAGAGGGCCCACTGGGGAGAGTGGAGTCACCCCTTCCGCATCCCAAGTCCTGGCAGCCCCAGGGAGCCCCCTACCCAGCTCGTGACTGGAGGGTAGCAGATTTCAGGAGCTGGGTACCCCCCTCCCCTCTCCTCCCCAGTTGCTCTCTGCACGAGGAGGACACCCAGCGGCATGAGACCTACCACCGGCAGGGACAGTGCCAGGCGCTGGTGCAGCGTTCCCCCTGGTTGGTGATGCGTATGGGCATCCTCGGCCGCGGGCTGCAGGAGTACCAGCTGCCCTACCAGCGGGTGCTGCCACTGCCCATCTTCACCCCCGCCAAGATGGGTGCCGCCAAGGAGGAGCGCGAGGACACCCCCCTCCAGCTGCGGGAGCTGCTGGCACTGGAGACAGCCCTGGGGGGCCAGTGTGTGGAGCGCCAGGACGTGGCCGAGATCACCAAGCAGCTGCCCCCTGTGGTGCCTGTCAGCAAGCCCGGTGCCCTTCGTCGCTCCCTGTCCCGCTCCATGTCCCAGGAAGCACAGAGAGGCTGAGAGGGACGGTGACTCGGGCTCCACTGTGCCCACTGTGGGCTGGGCCCTTCCTGGCTAGGACCATGGAGGGCAGCTGCTGGCCATGGATGCTTTGTAGTTTGCCCAGAGTTGGGGGCTAGGGGAGGAGGGAGCCAGAGGCCAGGATGCCTGGGTCCCCTGAGTTCCCAAAGGGAGGGGGGCAAAGACAGTGGACACTAAGGGTAGAGAGCTGGGGGCCAGCACAGCCGAGTACCCCCAGCCCCAGGAGAAGGGACAAACGATGCTGGTGAGGACAAGAGGTCCCTGAGAGGAATGACCCTGGTCCAGGCTTCAGCTTCAGAGAAAGATGAGGAAAAGTGTTAAGGGGATCTGGAATGCTCTGAGAAGAGGCTTGGAGAAGACTGGCGTGAGGGGGACGTGAAGAAGGCAGAGGCAGAGTGGGGCCCCCAGCATCCTCTGTTAGTGCTGCAATAAATGCTCAATTGTGTTCCAGACTTTTCGTCTCTTTCCTTGTGGGGGCCAGCCCATTGGTGTCCCCCCATGCTCACTTCTGGGAATAGGCCTTGCATCTGAGCTAAATATGGCAGAGCCAGTGGGTACGCTCCATGCTTGGTGGTGGGGGCAGAGGAGACAGGAACAGAGCTGTAAACAGGGTGGCTGTCTGTCCAGGCCCCCTTCCATGCCCTGGCTCTGCTGTGCAGTTCCTGGACTCTGTGTCCAGTCCCCTGGCACTGGGCAGTGCCCAGCAGGCCAGCTGGCATCCAGGGTGTGTTTAAATGATCTCATGGAGAATAGGGAGGGGGCTGGCACCAGGATTGTCCTTGGCTGTACCTAAGGGTGTGGATGGGGTCACTGACCCCGAGGCTGACCTACCTCTCAGGTCTGAATCCAGACAGGATCAGTCCTTGGCTCCGGTCAGCCGCTCTACCCACCCTGCCCAGGGAGCCCAGGGTGGGCTGTGGGGAGTGGAGGGTCGGGTTCTTGTCTGTGACCCCTGCAGCTGTTGTGACTCATGTCCCAACCTGATTGCCTGGCCCAACAAGGAGACATGTTTCTCTTGGGACAAGGTGGGGACCGGTGAGGGCACAGAGGTGAGGGCACAGAGGAGGCTAGGGGCCCATCTGGACAGGGGCTCGTAGCCTACCTAGGGCAGAGGTGCACTGGACTGGCCCAAAGGGGTCCACTCCAGGAAGACCATGGAGATAGCTCCATGGAATCCACTTCCCATTTGGGGGAGAAAGGAGGGGAGATCCTGGCATCTTGACCTGGAGTGCCAAGCAGGACCTACAGGCCTGGCCTGACCCCCTCCCCAAGAAAGGGGAATGCAGTGTGGGCTGGGGAAGGAGAGGGGTCAGAGACCCCAGACTGGTGCAACCCCAAATCCCTTGGCACCGAAGGCCCAGCCCGCGCCCCCTGGCGACCGCGGCAGGCCGGGGAACATCTGCGTCCTTCCGCCCTCACCAGGGACCCGCGTGCCCGACATGGCTAGGATGTTCCGACCTTCTGCCTTCAGAAGCCCCCAGATAAGCGGCTCAGAGCCTGCAGGGCCCGCAGGGAGGCCCCGCTGTTCGGAAGGCTAAGTGCATTAGCCCCGCTCACATCCCCTATCGCTGCTGCCATCGGACGGGCGGGGCCGGAGCTCCGCTCTAGGGCCCCGGGGCGACCGCGACGGTGGCGGAGGCCAGAACGGACTGTCCTTTCCGGAGTGGGTGTGGGGGGCGCTGGGGAACGAGGGTTGGGAGGAAAGGACGAAAGAGGGCTGGAGGAGGGAGGGGGGAGCTGGGGTGACCAAACCAAGGAAGGGGGTGGATGTGGGACGCGGTGTCTCGGAGGAAGGAGAGCCCGCAGGGGGCCGGGCCCGGGGTTGGGACGAGAGCGCTGGGAGGTGGGCAGTGGAACAGCGCCGACTGGACCCTGGGCCAAAGAGAAGGAATGGGGTGCCGGGCGAAGGGGGTGAATGGCCGGGGAGCTGGAGGAGAGCGACGGGAAGAGCTGGGGGCTGGCGGGGCGGGGATTTAAGG